ACATGGACGACCGGTACCGACTGTCCCTCCGCTGCAGCGCTCGAGCCAAGGAACTTGTACTAACCAACACAGAGAACATCTTAGGTCGGTCGGGATATATCCTACCATTGTCGATATATATATATATATATATATATATATATATATATACATGGACGGAGCCAGGTGAGGTGGGGTGGGGAGGGGGGGGGGTGCAGGGGATCAGCTGCCCCCTCCCTCATCCACCCCCATCCCCACCCCATATATAATCTTTGTATGTATATATGTATATATAGTACATGTTTGAGTATTATATTAGTATATAAAAGTTGTTGATTATTAAATAGAGATGTGTTAGATTAGTTGGTAGAGCATGTGTTTGGTTATAATAAAGGTTAGGTGTTCACTTCCTTTGGTTATCAATGTAATTTTACAGTTTTTATAGCATTTTTAATATTTAATACACACACACACACACACACACACACACACACACACACACACACACACACACACACACACACACACACACACACACACATATATATATATATATATATATATATATATATATATATATATTCAAATTATTTTATCAAATTAATTATGTTCATATTTTGTTATGAATATTTTTATAAAGTTTCGATGTGTTATTTTTCACTCATATCCAATAATATTTACATCTATATTTCTTAGGTAATTTATTTATTTATTTTTTAAATATCTCTTTCATTTTAATTATGTTCATATTTTGTTATGAATATTTTTATAAAGTTTCGATGTGTTATTTTTCACTCATATCCAATAATATTTACATCTATATTTCTTAGGTAATTTATTTATTTATTCTTTAAATATCTCTTTCATTTTTAATGTTTCGCCTTTACTAAAAAAAATTCTGAATCCGTCTTTATTTCACCCTCCCCCCCCCCCCCCCCCCCCCGCGCCCCTCAACAAAATTCTTGGCTTTATATATATATATATATATATATATATATATATCCTGTAATAACACTTCATATGAGATAAATAAGAACCAATCTTAACTTTATATTTGTAAAATTCGACTGATCAGATTTAAAATATATATATATATATATATATATATATATATATATATATATATATATATATATATATATATATATATATATATATATATATGATGGTAATTTCATAATTATCATCAACTCCACTGTGCAAACTTTAAGACTTAAATATGTAATTTTTAACACCTAAATATGCAAACCTGGTAAATTCTATAAAATTAACGAAAATGCTAAATTTTAAATCTAAACTATAAATGTAAGACCTTAAATAGTAAAAAGTAAACCATTAGACCAAATAAAATAAAAAATATCCAACTATAAAATTTTAAAATCAAAACTCTAATTGCAATGTACTTTCACATTTTTGCAAGTGCAAATTTTTAACATTAAATATATAAAATGTTAATACTAAATGTGCAAAACATTAATACTAAATTTTTACATTTTAGTGTCAACGTTTGCATAGTAAAAGTAGTAATAATTACGAAACTACCACCGTGTTTTCGTTTTAAATCTGATATATATATATATATATATATATATATATATATATATATATATATATATATATATATATATATATATATATATATATATATATATACTAGTTTTTTACGCACATTGCGCGATTGGGATAATGCCCAATATTTTTATTTTAATAAGTACTTTAAAGTATATCAAGGCGGGATTATATTATAATTGTTCATGCATAAATAATTGAATGTTGAATTTGTGTATTTAAATAGGTAATTCTAAGTTTACAAATACAAGATAATATAGTCAAGATTGATTATAATTGTCAATAAATTAATTGTATAGGTATGGTTGAAACCAAATACGGGACATAAGGGAGAGCAAATAAAAATTAGGGCATAAAATTTTAAATATATACTAATATTGAAGAGCTAATTGTTGATTGTCAAACAAGGACACTGCGAGGTAGTTTTCCACTTCAATTTGTTGTGTAATTTGAATACTCTTTTTGTAAATAAATCCCCCAAGTAGTTAATATGATTGACTTAATTATATTTTTTTATTATTTTTATTTTTTAAAACTATTATTATTATTATTATTATTATTATTATTATTATTATTATTATTATTATTATTATTATTATTATTATTAAATATATGTATACTCTTAGGTCATTTTACATGTTAATCTAAAAAATTAATTTTTTCGAATATCTTTTTATCAACCGTTGATATAATTCGCTGGTCAAATCAGCTAATATAATCCAATAACGTTAACCGCTAACTACTGATTGTCAAACAAGGACATTACGAGGTAGTTCTCACTTCAATTTGTTGTGTGATTTGAATACTCTCTTTGTCAACAAATTCCTCAAGTTGTTAATATGATTGGCTTTATTAATTATATTTTTCTTAATTTTTTCATGGTATTAATAAAATACTTGATAAATAAATATATAACATTATTTTGTATTATAACTTTGATATTTAATTAAAAAAAAATAGTGCACAAAAAAGATAATAGACAATGTAGTGAATATAATCAATTGATGAATTTGAATGTAAAGAATTTTTACATTGTAGAAAAATAAAGACAATATAATATAATAAAATTATTTTTCTTAATTAATTTATTGATAATGAATAATTTTTTTTTTAATAAAGACATTGTAGCGACAATGTAACAAATATAATCAATTGATGAATTTGAATGTAAAGAATTTTTATATTGGAGAAAAATAAATACAATATAACTAATGAAATTATTTCTCTTATTTAATTTATTGATAATGAATAATTTTTTGAATAAAAACATTGTAGATAAATAATTCTAAATTAAAGATCGAAATGCATATGTATTATTTTTTGTTGTAACTACTAAATTATTATTTTTAATTTAATAAAAGTAAAATGGAGTACTAAATATGCCAACTTTGATTGGGATGGGGTTCGAGCTTCGAACTTAAGACCCTTCTTATTGAAATCAATGAATAAGTTAACGGTGAACTAACAGAAATTAACGGAAAAAATAATATTTAACGGAAAAATTAACGGATAATCATATTCATTAAGGATAAATTAGTAAATCTTTTGAAAAAATTAAAATCTGATCAATCTGAGCCATTCATTTGATTAAAAAACTTGACCGCCATTTTTTCTACCCATTATAGGCCTAACTCTCTTGGGCTCTTATTAGTATATATATATATAATCGCACTCAGGTGCGAATGCTTCGCCCAGACGCGAAATTGGAAAGAATTCTGTTCGTCCACGTGTCCTTATCTAATGGATGAGAAACACTGATTTTTTAAAAAAATGCGGTGGTATTTTCGTAAATAATTGAACATCGAAGTGCAAGTAAAATGTATTACAACTGCATGTAAAATGTATTATAGGTGCAAGTAAAAATTTACACTGAGCATCAATACTTAGTTGCACCGATAGTTCTAAGTAGTTGCACCTATATTTCTAAGTAGTTGCACCTATATTTCTAAGTAGTTGCACACATAGTTATAAGTAGTTGCACCTAGGTGTATGAATGTTTGCGAGTGGTTTTTAGGGGTATTACTACCCGCTGAACTCAGATCAATGAATGTTAACAAGGCAAAATTACATGCACTTATAGGTGAAAGTAGGTGCGCTTGTAAGTGATTTTATTTGCACTTCGATGTTTAATTATTTACGAAAATGCCACCTCATTTTTTTTTTTAAGTTATTAAATCTGATCACGTGTCGCGCGCTGATTCGTTCGCATTTTCCTCCTGAGCACTATAGGTGCAACTACTTATAACTATATGTGCAACTACTTATAACTATAGGTGCAACTAAGTATTGATGCTCAGTGTAAATTTTTACTTGCACCGATAATACATTTTACATGCACTTGTAATACATTTTACTTGCACTTCGATGTTCAATTATTTACGAAAATGCCACCGCGTTTTTTTAAAAAATCAGTGTTTCTCATCCATTAGATCTGGACACGTGGACGGACAAAATTCATTCCTATTTCGCGCCTGGGCGAAGCATTCGCACCTGAGTGCAATTCTATATATATATATATATATATATATATATATATATATATATATATATATATATATATATATATATATATATATATATATATATATATATATATATATATATATATATATATATATATTTATATATATATAGGGACGCACTCAGGTGCGAATAAGTGCCCAGGAAGGAAATACGAACGAATCAGCGCGCGACACGTGTCCAGATCTAATAACTTAAAAAAAAAACGCAGTGGCATTTTCGTAAATAATTGAACATCGAAGTGCAAGTAAAATCTCTTATAAGTGCACCTATTTTCACCTATAAGTGCATGTAATTTTGCCTTGTTAGCATTCACTTTCCGCAACCATTCATGCACCTGCGTGTGCTTATAACTATATGTGCAACTATTTATAATTATATGTGCAACTACTTATAACTATAAGTGCAACTACTTTCACCTATGAGTGCATGTAATTTTGCCTTGTTAACATTCATTGATCTGAGTTCAGCGGGTAGTAATATTCCTAAAAACCACTCGCAAACATTCATACACCTAGATGCAACTACTTATACCTATGTGTGCAACTACTTAGAACTATAGGTGCAACTACTTAGAACTATAAGTGCAACTAAGTATTGATGCTCAGTGTAAATTTTTACTTGCACCTATAATACATTTTACATGCACTTGTAATACATTTTACTTGCACTTCGATGTTCAATTATTTACGAAAATACCACCGCATTTTTTAAAAAAATCAGTGTTTTTCATCCATTAGATCTGGACACGTGGACGAACAGAATCCATTTCTATTTCGCGCCTGGGCGAGCCGTTCGCACCCGAGTGCAAGTCTATATATATATATATATATATATATATATATATATATATATATATATATATATATATATATATATATATATATATATATATATATATATAAAATACTAATGCATATTAGCTCTCATTGTAAAGAGATCAAAACTCGTTGACGATTATTATTCCTTGTCGATGTATCACATCACTAAACAGAAAGGCATAACATCAAAGCATTATATGACAGGTGGACGAAAACGTTCTTTCAAGTAACGACTTCTTCGACTTACATTGTGATGACAGCAAATATTCTATCAAAAATTTCACCCACCACATCAACATATATAGCACGATGCATATGCTACAGGAATTTCTCCCACTCATTTATTTAGCATGCATGGTATGACCATCAAACGGAGGGACTAAACTATAATCAGGCAGTAACCTTTTTGGAAGTGACAGAGTTAACAATGGAGGCAAATTCAGGACCCTGTGAAAATGCAGAAACAGAAAGTCAAGTTAGTTATGATCTGTCCGGTCCAGCAGCACGATGTTTGAACCAAGAAACACTTTTCCGCTCTGCACTGCTCTCATTTTAGGAGATCGGGGTTGGTTAAGAAAATACCTTTAGGGAAGCACCTCCCACTAGAAATCCATCAATGTCTTCTTTCTTTGCAAGTTCGGCGCAGTTGCTTCCATTCACAGAACCTGTCAAATAATTTCAACTTCTGTAAAACACCATCAACTTCATAAAATTCTTGAACAATTTTGAGAAAGCCAAGATGGTGCACCAAATTGTTGATATTGCAGCATATTCTCCTAATAAGCACGTAACCCCCGTAGTAAATTCAAGGACAGACATTAGCAGTTTGTGAGCTTCAGACTTTTATATGAGCAGTACTTTACCCTCAACTTTTGGAACTTGGAACTTAAATTATCTTTATGTTTAAATAATTTATGAAAATGTTTCCCAGCAATAGAGTAAAATATCAGAGATAGTCGCCGCATATTCTAAACCAACCCAGACACGCACCTAAACAGAGATTTTGCTTTGCATATATAATGTAAGTTGAAAACAGTACCTCCATAGATAATACGTGTTTTTGAAGCAACATCTGATGAGACATTCTTACTAAGCCAATCACGAATAGCTGCATGCACTTCTTGAGCCTGCTCAGGTGTGGCCACTTTGCCAGTTCCGATAGCCCATACAGGCTCATATGCAATGACAACATTATCCCAACTTGGTAAAGCATCTGCACATTGTTATAGTCTACTGTCATTAAACTAAAAGATGTGCAACAGAACTGTGAACAAGAAAAACCTGTCTCCAACAAACTCCCCCCCTCCCCACACACAAGATCGTAAAAAGCACACGTCTTTTTATATAAACAACAAAATCTTGCCTGCAAAAGCCTTTAATTGTTGGAAACAGACATCGAAAGTTTTTCCTGCCTCTCTTTCTTGTAAAAGTTCCCCGATGCAGGCTATAACTCCAACACCTTGGCTCAAGGCATAAGCAGCCTTCTTTCCTATAAACTGCAGAGCAATTCAAAATGAAGTATCATGAGGAAATTTCTAAGGTATAGCAAACATTTAATTTTTCCTCTCTTATTATGTGTTTAAAATTCTTACTTCATCATTTTCTCCAATTATATGTCTCCTCTCAGAATGACCAAGAATGACCCACTTGCATCCAATATCATTTAACTGCTCCACACTGTAAATGGAAATGAAGAGGACTATTTAAGAAATCAATCCTGACCACAAGTAAACTCCTTCAACTCATTTGTATTAGGTGAAGTAAAATAGCTTTCTAGTCAGAATTCTGTGAATACTGAGTAGACAAAGGTCCCAGTGATCCATCAATCAAGTCCACACACATTGCTCTGATGAAAAGGAATGCCATATGAGAAGTAAAAAATACGAACAGCACTCATCCAATAAATTAGACCTCACCAGACACACTGAACTTATATTGTTATTTTTTTCATGACAGGTTTTACAGAAGAAGGCAATGATGATATTTTGACATCCAACTTGTAACATATTTGCTTCACCTGATTTCTCCAGTAAAAGCTCCACCCTTTCCAATCCAACAATTCTGAGCAGAAATCTCAACCCGATTAGTTAAATTGTTCTTTACTTGATCAATATACAGAAAAGGAGGTGCCACCACCACATCTGTAAAATTTGAAGGATAGAAATAATGATATATTCGGGGAAAAATTAAATTTAATGGATAAAGGTAACTTTGATTCTTCAAAAATTTGATTTAGATTTCATTAATTGAGGATAGACTTAGATACAATACCATCAACTACAGATATATATTTTAAGTTACATCTAAGGGGGCGTTTGGTTCAGGTTATATTACATAACCATGGGAATATGACATTCCTGAGCTTAGATTCCTATGTTTGGTTCATACTATCTGAGGGAATATAACATTCCCAGGGAATGGAACATTCCCTCCACATAGGATTTTGAAGGGAATGTGATTCCCTTCCTTTTCTTAGGTAATGTGAGATAACCTTGGATATTTATAAATTTTGCTATTTTCATTCTAATTATTTAAAAATATATATTTTATGTTAGCTTATATATATATATATATATATATATATATATATATATATATAAAGATAAAGATAACCCTAAACCAAACATAATTATATTATATACCTCAGTCTTAACCAAACACAGGAATTTAACATTCCCAGTAATCTAACATTCCCAGCAATCTAACATTCCCTAAGGTAATCTAACATTCCCTAAGGTAATCTAACATTCCGTGAACCAAATGGCCCCTAAGTGGCAAATAAAGAGAAATGATGAACTAACCAACATCAGGCTCCAGCTTTGAACTGTTCAATTCAGAGACTAGCTTGGCTATAGACTCTTTTGTTCCATTCTGTAAGAAATGTCCAAGAAAAAGAAACTAAGAACATCAAGAATCAAGTGCACTAAGCATGTGTCAAGTGGAGAAAATGCAAAAAGCTTTGACAGAAAACACACAGGGCTATGAATACAACATGAGGATATGACGGATTTCTGTAAGTGAATTAAGAGATAATACTTACACATTTCCAGTTTCCACCAACAAAAAACTGCAAGCAAACAATGTAGACAAAAATCAATATTCAGTGTTAAATTGTAACAAGTCAAACGACAATTAATGAGAACAAATATAGGAACAAGAATGCCATTGAGTGTAATGCTATTACATGATAATTTACTTAAACTGCCCTCAGCTACTGAATGATAGTTTAACTAAAGACAGTATAGAGCATGTTATTGAAGCAAAAAACTATAAAGAACAATGTCTTCCCTTCTGGGTTTCCCTCTTCTTTTCTCATGATAATCTGCAAGGTAACTTGATAATTAATACACCTAATGATATCATACTTTTGAATCTAATCCTTTGAACTTATAGTAAAGAAACAACATTTTACTATCTAGTTCAATAACTTAAAATTGCTAGTACTCTTTTCTTCAAAATTATTCCATCAAAACTGGAAGTAATTTGAAACAGTTGTTCATTTCGCATCACACCATCATAATCATCGAAACATATAACATTTCCCCAGTTTCAACTAATACTGTAGAAAATACATACATAACAAAAATCAGCCATGATTACAATGAATATCAGATCTGTATATACACTCCACTGTCGAGTCCAGATGCCAAAATACTAATTAAAAAAATAACGGAAAATAAAAGGAAAAAAAAAAAAAAAAAAAACCTACCTTTCCGGAGCCGGCCATGGCGACGACGGCTCGGCAGCCTTTGCCAGAAGAGGATACGCGGAGGCGAGAGTCGACGGTTTGGAAGAAGGATTGAGTGGTAGAGAGAGTGAGGGAGGTGGGGATAGATCGACGGAGGGCGGAGAAGTTAGGAGTGGAGGCGGGACCGGAGAGTTGAGAAGCCAGAGATGCTGACGACACCGCCATTGCCGCAAAGCGTTTGAACTCTGAAAATTGAAATGGAGAAGACTGATGAAGACGCTACTACTCAGTGGGTGGGCGACACCTTTTTCTATCCGCTTCAACTACAACAACCAAATGCCAATAGGCAATAGCTTACCTACCACTGATTACGAATACGGAATACGCATCGTCATCTGTGTAAACACTATTCCAGAACGGAACTTTTGCACGGCGTTTGGTTGGGAAAAGGTTAGAATTAGAAAGGGTAGTAATTGTAGTTCCGTAAAAAAAAAAAATTGTGGATAAAGTATGAATTTAAATTAATTATTTCGTAAAGAAAAATATAATTATGAATGATATAAAGACTAAAATATAGGGTCGTTTTAATAAAATTAGGGTTCTGTTTGATATATTAATTTGTACCATTTCCAAGTATTTAGTATATATTTTCAAGTATTTAGTATACATAAATAATAATTGTTTAAAAAGTTGTGACAAAATTGAAAAATAGAAATATTGTATATAAAAATATTTAAATTTCACTTAAACAGTGACATGCGCACATTTAGATGTAAAATCTTTCACAAAATTTTTAATATCAACTTCTTTCAAAATCTCGTTTTCATTGTGACCACCATCATCTAAACAACTATCAATATTCTTATCGTTTTAATTGTAATAGTGATATCTATCATTGTTGTGCACACTATTGTTTACATTTTTTTCAGTGTCACACTCACCTTGATCTTCAGTATGAAGATTATTACTCTCTCGGACTTATTTTATGTATCGGGTTCGGTTAATAAGGCTTTACTGAAGTTATTTTTATTTCAATTTTTCATAATACTAATTTGAGTATTAGTATACAAAAATTTATATATTTAGAAACTACATTAAAAGTACTATTAAACACAAAAATCAAATTGCCGACTTGTTCAATTCCAAACTCTACATACTTGCCTTATGCGGAAAGTGTGTCGATGGCTGACTGGAGTGACTGCAAGAAAAATGGATTAGGAAAAATACAAAATAGGATTTAGGCATTACCGCATTAGTGTTGCGTACAATCATTATTGTGTGGACCATATTTTGTATACTATAAAATAATGTACATTTAGTACACAAATAATGTAATTTTAATATATTAAAAATGTACATTGCATTCAGGAAAAGTAAATATTTGAATACTAAAAGTACATTATTTTATATAATGTACATTCAATACACGAATAATGTACTTTTAGTATATTAAAAATACACTTTCTTTTATATATCTACTATCTACTATACTATACTATACTAATAAGAGCCCAAGAGAGTTAGGCCTATAATGGGTAGAAAAAATGGCGGTCACAGATTTTAATCAAATGAATGGCTTAGATTGATTAAAAGATTGATCAGATTTAAATTTTACACTAAAATTTCCTAAAATACCCATGATGGTTTTAGGGTTTTCGGGCCCAAGGAGGTCCAACACAACCTTTGGCTGGTGGGTGCACCTTTCAGTAAAATGTATGCCTATCTCGGAGGTAATGCGAGTACTCGGAACCTTTTTGGTATTCTCCCCCTCTGGGTGTTCAATCGTCTGTCCTTTTACAAGAATGGAGGAGCCTTTATATAGTGGCTCCTCCTCTACCGACTTGAAGGCCTTTAATGGCCGACTTCAAGGCTAATTAAGATACGGAGCTATTGGACGCCATTACTCGGTCGACCAACGGCTCTCCCAGGCTTGTAACGGCCCGACCGAGTCCGGCTTTCAATGTCTTAACGGCTCCCTTTTAAACGAATCTCTTCAATGCTCTCAACGGCTCCTTGAGCCGAGTCCTTTCCTGGGCTTGGGCCTCGGTCGACTCCTTGTCTCGGCCTAAGCTCCTACTGGACTCCTCTTAGCAACTCCTGAACTGGGCCCCGTGCTTGGGCCTGGGCCGACTCCCGGACTCGGCCCAATTGCTCTTCGGGCTCCTCTCGACGCTGGCCCAGTTCTCCTATCTATTTTCTTTGGGCCCCTATCTCTTGGGCCGGGGTCCTCACCCCATCAACTAGTCCCTCACTTTTCCATACCCGGTCCGCTAGCCTGGGTTTGGAAAAGTAGCAACTGTCCATCTCCTTCAATCACCGTATCTTTGCTTTGAATAGCTTTCGGTAACGTCCGGATCCTCAGCCATTCGCTCCGGATCTCGCGGGGCCGTTTGGATTCTTCCGTCTAAACTTGGCACCTATAAATGGCGTCCTTCCTTCTCTTTCACCTTCTCAAGTCTACCATGGGTCGTTCTCCTCTGAAAGGAAAACGGATTGACTTCGGGTCTCCTTGGCGTCCGCTGCCCTCCAAGCGGACTCGGCCTGAACGGGAACACAGGAAGAAGACTCCTCGCCCAGCCCCTCAGAGGTCTCCTGCCGGCGCTATGTCCTCAGCTTCTCAGCCGCCGACTCCTTCTCGACGCGAGGTCACTCCGCCGTCACGCCATCCGCCTACTCCCACGACTGCCCGAGTGACTTCTCAAGATGGGTCCTTTGTTGAGGTGGCGGTTCCAGAGCAACTTACTTTCAGAATGACCTTCTCGATTCCGCTGGACGACCTGGACGGGCCGGTTACGGGCCTGATGAATGATGAGGATTACGCCCGCTACCTGGAGGTGTATCCGGATGACGAGGAGCCAATTGCGCCACCACTCATGCCAGCTTTCTGGGACTCGTTCTGTCCATCCCCGCCTGGACCATCGGGGGGGGGGGGGGGGGTTCTTTGGGGGCGACTCCTCCTCGCCTGGCGAGTGATCGTATGTATCGGAGTCGGCCATAGTTCGGAGGAATTTCTTTTAGGAGCATTTTCATATTCCTTATTGTAATAAGCTCCTTGCCATTTGTATCCTCCTTTTTGCAATAATAATAAATGCTATCCTTGCCTTATGTTTTGTCGTGTTCTATTACGTACTCATTTGGACGACTGGTCAAGGGATCGGTCACGTCATCAAAATCTTTTCGGTCTGACACCTGCAAGATTCCCCATATCCTGGGCGAATCCACTTTTTTCTGCGTTGGCGTGCGAATCTCGCTCTTCTCGAGCGGATCTGATGGAACTAATCTCTGACAGAGATTCGCGTCATCCGTCTAATCCGGCTCAGTTATGTCAGTTATAATCTCCTCCGCGATTATCGCCTAGGTATTTGCCTTCGCTGGGCTATATAAAGGCCCTTTACAGTTGATGCAAATCGCAACATTCTCCACTTTGCGAAGGTACGGCGCTATGAGTTATAGGGACGGTGATCGCCGCTGGTCCATTCGTAACAAGGAGCATGCTCGTCTGGAGCAACTGAGGCAGAATAGGTTGGCTAACGGAGGTCGTTTGGTGGGCGACTCGGCCTCAGACCCCATCGTGGTGCTTCCAGACATGCTGGACCTGATGTGTAGGGAGCCCATCGACGTGGAGACGGAACCTGGGGTGGAGATGGAGCCTGTGGTGGAGGATCCCGAACCAATGGCGGAAGAGAAGTGGGAGGCTCCTCCCCTCTTCGGTGTGGCCGTGTCGCCGAGCGCTCTGGAGAGGCCCTTGCAAATGATCGATGACGGGAAGCCCGCCGTGTATCTGGACGAAATTCCTGAGCCTGAGCCGAGTCCTCTGCCTTTCCGTTCTCAGTACCTCCTGGAAGGCCTTCCGACCGCTAGCCCGTCGACAGAGAAAGAAGCCAAGCCTTGACTCGTTTTTTCTCTTGTAATTTGCATCGGCCGAGTGCTGGGCCTTGTAATCTTCGTGCTAATTAAATAAATTGTGTGTTTTTCTGTCCGACCCCACATCTTCTTAGTATTTTGTCGTCCGACCTCTGGTTTATGGGACTGATTCCTAGTCTTGCTATGGCGAGACCCCTCCTGGTGAGGGAGTCGCCGAGTCTGATTGCCGACCTGGTTACTGGAGTCTCTTCGTGAACTCGACTGATATCATTCGATGAGCCGGGTTCTACCGGGTCATTCTAGAAGCTTCCAGCTCGTATCACATGGGCCCAGAGGCCATGGCCCACTACGGGCTTCCGGCTTAGCAGGCCGGGTCACTTGACGTTCGACCCTAGCCTAGGACAGACGCGCCGTCTGTGGGCTAACCCTAGGCCTGAACCGTCGCCCTGCTTTTTGAGGCATTAAATGCGGCGTCCCTTCACGTCTCGTCACCTCCACTTCCTCCAACGAGAAGGTGGCACGTGGCCGTCCTTCGAAATTCCTTCCCTTTAAATAGCCATTTCGTCTCTCTTTCCATTCTCTTCTCCAGTCTTTCTTCTCAGCTTCAACTTTGAGCTTCTCCGGCCACTCAATACTTCCTCCGATCTCTCTCCTGACTTAGGTAATGTCTTCTTCCTCACATTCTTCTTCTTCTCGTCGTTACTCGGTTGATAACCTTGAGACGACCTCTCCCTCTTCTTCTTCTTCTCCCCGTCGTATGGAACTTCCGGCGGACATTCCATCGACGTCCTCTCTTCGTCGTATGGAACTTCCGGCGGACGTTCCATCGATATCTTCTCTTCCACCGACCCCCTCTTCTTCGGGGGCGGTTACTCCGCTGAGCCCCGCTCCTCTAACGACGGTGGCGGCTCTACCGGGTGGCGTCGGACGGCCGCGGGGCAAGTTCGATTCCATCGTCCGCCCTTCCGGGTCACCGTCCGTTGTCAATGCGGTGGACCTGGAAATGACCCGATACCTTCTTGGGCCTTCTGCCGTAGTCCTCGCCCCGGAGGGCCGGCAAATTTACGACCCCCCCGAGGGTTGTGTCGGCATTCATTTACACTCGGTTGCCTTTGGCTTCCGGGTTCCTCCGTGTCCTTTTCTTTCCCTTTTTTACCGCCATTACAACTTAGTTCCGGGCCAACTAGTGCCCAATTCTCACCGACTCCTCACTTGTTTCGTCAACCTCTGCCATTGGTGTTTGTGCAAGCCAGACCTAGACCTGTTCTGGTATCTTTTCACCGTGAACAAGGTCGGCTTGCACTCGCCGGGCTTTGTTCAAGTCGCCGCTCGCCCAGGGCGGCAGCTTGTCGAGGGGCTGTCCGATTCCATTAAGGACTGGAAGCTCCTCTATTTCTTCGTCCGCCCTGCTTTTTCTTCCTTCACCTTTCCGACCTTGTGGCCGGCCGCTCTATTCAAGCCTTGCTCTCGACGTGCCGTTCCTTCCGATGATGCGGTCCTGGGCGGCGAGTTCTTGAAGGGCTTTGGGTCGTACTCTGTCAAGT